CTATGGTTAATGCGTTTTAAGCTATTTTTCTTGACCTAAATTAGTATATATTTTATTATTGTAAATATATATATATATATATATATATATATATATATATATATATATATATATATTTGTTTTTTAAAAATGTTTTTTACAAAATTTTGCTGTCTAAATTCTAATTTTTTTTTTTTTTAAAGAGTATCTCTAATGGCTCTGAATTTACAAAAATACCTCAAAAATGTTCTTTCAAAGTTCGTTGGTACACTGAGTTTGCCTGCTCTATAAAGTATCAGATTGTTGAGAATAGCTGTGTTTTAAAAACTCGTGAATTTACATTTAATTTATCACCTTTGAATAAAACATGGATAATTGAGCAAAAAGGGAAAGATAACTACACCATTAATTTGAGTGTTTGTCAACCAAAAGTGCAATGCAACGAAGGTAATTTTATAAAATATTTTGTAATTGTTGTAAATACAAGAGTTACTACAAACAGTAGCAAAAAAAAAAAAAATTTGCAATATTATTAAATGGTGAATGAAGCTAAATTGTGTTTTAGCTGGGGAAACAAGAGTTAATAGCTTGAGCAGTAGTTATTAGAGCATTTGTTGAATAGAGAAAGAGATGTAACCTTATGCAATCTTACAAATCGGACAGAGGCTCAAGCATAGAAATTAGAGCAACTTGTCCACATCAAAACACTAACAGGGACACCATTCAGGTAAAGAAGATGTTAGTAATACTCTGATATTTTACAACTGTTAATAGAATAAGTTAATGAAATCAGTTTTTCTATGACCTACCACAGTTTGTTGAAACATTCCCACAAGTTAGCTTCAGAAACATTAAGCAAACTTTTTGAGTTTTTCCCTCGCTACCTTTAGCATGCATCCTCAAAAGATTACAGAAATAGTTGATAGCCACTACAAGCGAGTAGAATCAAGGAAATCGTGCATTCATCATCCAAAGCAGGAAACAATATAATACAAGTTAACAAGGTTTAGATATTTTTGCTTACCCTAATATGCTTTCCCTAGGAATCTTTCAATAAGATAGTAGTTGGGTCGGATTTGCATCAGCCCAAAATTAGTATTTTTATTCAGACACTGTCTAGTCTTTATTCAACCCAATGCAGTTTGAGTCCCAAAGCAGGGAAGTACTTCAAGTCAGAATTAACTTTTCCTAGTGTTTGCTTAGCTTGGCAGCTTGAGCAGCTTGCTGAAGCAGGTCTAGCTACATGCGTTTTTTGACTTTGTCTAAATGAGAGATTCTCATTAAAAGAACAAGCCCTAATGTCAACAGTATTCCATACAAGATATTTCTACATATAAAGGTAGAAAATGAAATCAGGAGCAAGAAAATGGCAAGCAAAATAAAGAAAAGAAATTTTAGTAAACTTTGCAATGGATTTTGCATTTCCATAAAAAGTCAGTAGTAAATAGGAAGATGAAAATTAGAATACTCAGTAAGAGTGTTGCCATTAATATTGAAATATTTAAAATATTCTGAGTATAAAATAAAGCTGATAAAAAAGTTTCAAAATCAGCCTGTTCTATGTAATAAAAATTAATGACAAATAATGCCACTTTAGAGGTATCTGGAAAATTGTTAATATAAACAAGAAATAACACAGGACCGAAGATGGTCCTGCGTTGGTATCTTGTGCTACCCCAAAAGTTCTGAAAAATAATAGAAGTGTATGATATAATCAAAGTTTGTTAGTTAAAAATTTAAAGAGTTTGCTAAAAATAGTTAGAAGAATGATTGAGCAGGTCAAAGCAATTTCTATAGTTTTAAGATATTGGAACAATAGATGGCAGTTAATAACAGAAAAGATTCGATTTAACACCTTGGGAGAGGTAATAAGATCAGACCCGTGTATGAGAGATTTTTTGATTTATCTTTGTTAATGACTTTCCAAAAGCTCTAAAACCCTTATTATAAAACCTTATTATAAAGATGAAATATAAGATCAAGTTAGAGTTATGTACCTTAGTGTCAGACAGTATCATTTTGTATCAATTTACAGGAATAAATAGATGTTTACTCTCTAGAAAGTTGTTCTTGTAGAAAAGATGAAAGAATTAGTTATAAATAAAAATAGCAATTGCAAAAGCAGAAGAAAACCATTGGTATATTGAGGCTCTACTTGAAATTGACAAGAAGATTTCAGAATTTATATGCCTAAATCCAGGAGTTATAAAGGAGGCGAAATAATTGACAGAGAGAAAAAAGAAATAAGCCCCAAGGACCGCCACAAAAACAATCACCAAAAGAATTTTATTCAGCCGTAGGGTAATAATAAGAATGGCACAATTAATCCAATGTAGAAGAAAGACAAGATAAAAGTTTTAGCAATAACAAAAAACAAAAAGAAAATAGAGAAAAGAAGCTCAACTTTGGGGTAGAGACATGTCATTAAGTGAAGGTAAGTGGTTATGTTTGTCTGGAAAACAAAGAACTGAGAAAAAAATTAAGTTTTAGAGCTAGCAGAGTCATGGTACCTAAAACATTCAGTATGATGAGGATTAACTCACCATTTCTGCAATATTTTTGATTTTTGAAGGTTTGTATGAACCACGCACAATAGTTAAAAAATGGTGCTCAGATGCAATTATTTTTAGATTTGTTGTTTAATTCTTTTACTGTTTTTGTTTTCTTATTTTTAGAGTCCTTGTTATTTTTAGCAACAAAATTTGATATAAGCTAAGGAACAAAACAGATATTCTTAACATTTACCAAAAATAAAAAGTCTACAATTTATTGTAAAACTTATTTTTCAATATCTTCAAAAATAGAAATTTTCAAATTCTGTTTTTAAAAATGTTTTTTTAAAAATGTGAGAAAAGTTTCTGATTAATGTTTAAATATATAATTTATAAAGTTTTTAATGTAAAGTTATTAACATTAATGAAATTTTTTGTAGCCTATTTTTTACTTTTTAACAATGTTAAATAGTATTGATAATGTATGGTATTTTAAAAAAACTGCAATTATATAAACTCTTAAAATCAATTAGGTTAACCAACTGCCACAAAAACTGAAAATTATATTCTTTCTTTTTTTTTTTACACAATTCCATTATGTTTAATACCATTTCTTTTATTTTTTTTTTCATACAACTCCATTATATTTAGTACCAGCAACAAGGATGCTGGTATTGAAGATAATGGGGAAACTTTGTAAGTTTAAACACTTAAACTTATAAGTAATGTGTACAAAATGTTGAGATTCTAACCGTTAGTAAAATTTTTTATGTTGTCTTTAATTTTTTTAATTTTTTTTTTCTTTATTTGAAATAACTTAATTTAAACTTAATTTATTAAACATTAAAAATGTAAACTTAAAAGTTTATAAATTATTAACATACAACTATAGTTTTATTGAATATCGGAATTTAGTATCATGCATATGCTGTTTTTTTGCTTTGATCTTACTCGTTTTGTATATAGCATATTTTTGCTGAGATATGAAGTTTAAAGTTTTATGAAGATATAATTAGAAGATATAATTAGAAGATATAAAGATTTTATGTCAAATAAGTTTTACAATAGGTTGTAGACTCTTTATTTTTGGTAAATTTTTAAGACATAAACTGTTTTGTTCCTTGATCAATTTGATTGCTGAAAATAACAAGCATTCTACAAATAAGAAAACAAAAACAGTAAAAGAATTATGTACCAAATCTATGAAGAATTGCATTTGGGCACCATTTTTTAACATTGGATGTAGTTAATTGATTTTTTGACATGTCATTGATTTTTTACATAAAATGGCATGCTATATACTCCACACTTATTTGTTAGAAAGCTTGTTATGATATAATCTTTCAGGTTTATATTTTATTTATTTTCTCATTCATTAAGATTTATTTTTCAGCTTTAAAAAATAAACCTGAAAAAATAAATCTTAACAAATGTTAATTTTTAGCACATTTTTAAAACTTACAAATTGTCAAAACAAAATGTTATATGTATAGTCAGCAACCTTTGGACATGTCTTACTTGCAAAAGTCAGCAACCTCTGGACATGTGCAAAAGCAATCTATGTATCAATGCTCTATGAAATCTATGCAATCTATGTAACAATGGGCTTTTTGTGTAGTCTCAACAATGCACACTAAAAAAGGCAATAGGAACACCTTCCATACACAGGTTTCATTTACTTCCATTTACATTTATGTCAGCCTCTAAGATTAAGAAATATTTCAAGGCTGTTCAACAGAAATTTTCTGCTTACCTATAAAGTCTTTACCATAGATGAATATTTTTATTTGAATATTTCTTTTACTCAACCAAGAATCCCAAGACAGGGTTTTTTTAGTTATAGTTAGATTTCCCTAGCTTTTGTCTAAAAAAATTAAACCTAAAAGGCAGCATATGTCACATTTTTTTTTCACTACATGTTTGAATAAGTAGGATGATCATATTATTCATCATAATTCTGACATGAATCTTTGCAATATATTACTGGAACATAAGCAGTGGAAAATAGAATAGTTCAATATAGTTTTTTATTAGAATAGTTTAATATAGTTTTTTATTATAAAATATTTTTTTATGATTTTTTTCTCATCAATTTTTTTGAAAATGATTTTAGAAAATACTTTTATGAAAATTTTGTTTTTGTTGTGTTCATTTCTTAAACTTTAAAAAAATAACTTAAAGTAAACTAAACTTGTAATAAAAAAAAGTTGTTAACTAAGTTGTTAACAAAAAACTTCCTCATTTAATGCCATATTGTTTTTCACAAAGGAAATTTTTGGGATGTATATTTTTTTCTTTTAAAAAAATCTCACCAATGATTTTAGACTTCAATAAAAATATTTATTGTTGTAAATGTTCAATTTTTTTTTTTATTAAGTGAAAAAAAATTCCTTTTAAACGAATTCAATTAAAACTTGCTAAGAAGAGAAAAAAAAGTTAAATTTTGTGAAAAGGGAAAATTTTAAAGTAATATTACTGTCAAGTTATTATTAAATCATTAAGTAACACTTTAAAAGATTCAAAACAAAACTTTTAATTTTAATGTGCTATATAAATCTAGTATAAAAAAACTATATAAATTTAAAAATCATTCATAAATATATTAAAAATTTAAATCTAAAAATTTTTTGATTTTACTTGAACAACTCAGTGAAAAGAATTTAGGAGAAATACAGTCAGGAGCAATTCAGTGAAAAGTCTAAATGTGCACATAAATTATATTGTAAATTATAATAAATATATAACAAATTATTAAAATACCTACAGTAAATTAATTAAACCATTTCTTTAACAAAAAAACTAAGTTTGCTTAACTCTTATTTTCTTATGTTTAATTATGAAATAAATACAACTTGTCTTCTTTCAACTTACGAATCCTTTTAAAGCTTGATATAAATAAAAGTTTTGTTTGATATAAATAAAAGTTTGCCTTAAATATGGTATCTGTTAAAACAATAATGTTTGTTATTTATAGATTTGGCATCTGTTTGTCAAAAAAAAGAAAATATTCAAAAGGTGCTTGGAAAAACACAAACTTCACTGCGATATGTTGATAAAAAGTTATATTATATTTTTAAAGATGGAGAAAAATGCAATTTCTGGATAAATAGAACAACATACATAGTACTTATTTGCGACCTGTCAGCATCAGATCAGGGTGTTGGTAAACCAGTTTTCAAATATGAAGATAATTGCACATATTTTATAGAATGGTATACATTGTTTGCATGTCCACGTGATGTTAGTTCTCGTGATGTTAGTTCTGAGTGTAGAGCTATAAATAAAGATCAAATTTATGATTTAACACCTCTTAAAAAACCAATTAATATATCTAATGTTGATGGACACATAATTCAAATAAGTGTGTGTGGACTGCTTAATACATGTGGAAATTCTTCCATTTGTAATCTTAACAAAACAAAATCTTTAGGAAAATTTAATTCAAATCTTCAGATTCTTTCCGATAACTCTCTTTTATTGAATTATACGGGTGGTGAAAAATGTAATAATCTCACACATAATACAAAAATATTATTTATTTGCAGTCCTGGAAATTTTTTATCCACACCAAATATAGGTTCAGTTGATGATTGTCACCATTTGGTTACATGGGAAACAGGTAATAAGTTTATTTATTTAGTTGTAAAAAATTAAATATTGAAATCAAAAAAAAAGCCATTAATTAAGTGATCACAAATTGTGAAATCTGGAAAATGTTCTGGTCTTCAAATTCTCAGTTAAGAGTAAAAGAATTTCAAAAAACAAGATGTTACACTCTACATCATCGCTGAAACTTGGCACAAATGTTTAATGATTCAAGTTAGGAAAGGCTATGAATTTTTTTCAAAATTTTTTTATTCTTTTAAGAATTACAGCAACTTAAATTTTATTAGATTTTAGTTTAAAAATGATGGGGGGAAAGTGCTGGATATGTGTTTATTTTCTATTACCCTTATAAGGTGCTTGTAGTAATTTTGCCAAGCTAAAATTATGTACCAAAGGAGTTTAAATACTGTTTAATCTGAAAATTGTAGATTTGTATCTCTCAAAACAACAAAATATAGTCTATATTAAGATCTACAAAACACACTAACTAATCACAATAAAAAAGAGCATTGACAACTTTAGTTATAGAAAAAATCTGACTGATAGAAAAAAAACTTTGTAGCTTGAACTGCATGAAAATTAGCATTAGAAAAAGGTACTTTAGCCATGCCTAAATTAGGAAAAGCTCTTCCTGGTGTAACAGTTTAACTGGTCAAGTCTTTTTATGAAGATGATGAATATAGCTGTATAATGCCTGGTAAAAAAGACTATGTAAGTATAAAAGAAATATTCATGCAAAAACGTTTGCTCTTAGTAATTTAAAGGAATCGTTTGTTGCCTTCAAAACCATGAACCCAGAAATTAAGATAGGGTTTTCAAGTTTTGCACATTGTGACCAAATTGGTTTATTACTGCTGGTGCTTCAGGAACACATTCAGTATGCATCTGTACTATTCATCAGAATTTAAAACTGATTTTACATCCTCTAAGTGTGACATAAAAATAACTGTTACCTTATATTGTATGTGACATGACTAATATAATGTATTGACTGTATGATGCGAAAATGTGAAAGATGCCCAGCAACTATGAATGCATTGGTTGGAAGATGACAATGAAGTAGAATTTGATCAATAAACAACAACAGATAGGTCAAACTTAACAAATAATAAAGAGCCAGTGTCTGAATACATTAAACTACTATGTACTAGTATGCACCACACTCATATTTAGCTAAGAGTCAAGTACATACTTGAGATCAAGAAAGGAAAATATGAATGAATTAACAGCATTATTTCTGAGTGATTTTTAAAAAAATTATAAATTTGTAGTTCAAGATGAAGTACAAAGCTTTTATTAGACAAATTTACAATGTACACTTCATCCTGTGATTTTTTATTTCAAATAAGGTTTTCTCAATCACAAATGTTATTATATTTTTTTAGATGGTATGATGCATGATGTGAACATTGTGTATAAAATTATTGATGTTGTCAGCAGTAATACTAAAACAAATCTACCTCAAATAAAAAATATTGAATACTTTTCAGATGGGTATGTAGGTCTTTATAAGAAAAGAAAGGTCTGTTGCAGAAATATTTTGAATATTTGTTTCCATCTTGAAGAGTTTGGTCTTTTTGCTAAATGAAACGTTTTTGCATTTAGTCATGGTAAGCAACCTTGTGATGGAATAGATGGTACAGTCAAATGTTTAGCAACACTAGCAAGCTTGTAAAGAGATATGGGTAATCATATTTTATTTCCACAAACTATGTACAAATATTGCAATGAAAATATTGAAGGTGTATATTTCATTTATATATCATCAGAAGATTTAACTTTGGCAAGAAACACTCTTAAGGAACTATTGGGTACTGCAAATGGATCATGTAATTGCCAACAGTTTGTACCACTTGGCCATCAAAAAGTAAAAAAATATCTATTAAATATACCTTTTATTATCTTTAAAAAACATTTTTATTGATAAACTCAAATATTATTATTAATGTAGAATCATCGTCAAAAATATTTTTGTTTTATTTTGGACAATTTTTTTAATGCCATTAATAAAAAATGTTTAACAAAATAAGTAAAATGGAATAAATGCATATGTTGATATGTTTTCTAGATTAGACACAAAGCTATGCAGATTTGATGAAGATTTTGCTTTCATCCATGACTTTGGAAACATCCATGTAACAACTGTAAACTTAGTACCAGGTGATTACACCTGTGTTTCCTATGAGCAAAAGTGGTGGATAGAAGTCATTGAAGACATTAAACTAGAAGAAAAAGATGTGCTTGTTCAAATTTATTTATCCAAATGGTCCTGCGCGGTTGTTTAAATGGCCACCACTGGATAGCCAATGCTTGATTTCAGATGTCCACATCATTTGCAAGGTTGATGTACCAATTACAAAAACAGGACTTTGCTACTATTTAGCCAAAGACAACTTGAAAAAAATTGATTTCTTTAGGAAATAAACATTTTTATATTTAAACTAATTTCAAGTTTGCTGAGTCTGATATGTCTTATCCATACTTTTTTTAATCTTTTATTTTTTGTACAATTTATAAATAATGTGAATGAAAAGCATATATAAAATCAGTAAATTGAGTATTTATTTTTCAAAAGGTCTTTTTTTACCTTATAATTTTGTTGTAAAAAAGTAATAAAAACAATTAAGTTACTAAACTGTTAATTTCTAATTTGATTAATTTGTAAAAAGTTGGTAAGGCCAAAAAAAAATTGTTTTGTAAAGTTGATATATATCTTATCATTAAGAAAAAAATATATATTTCTTTTCTATCAGTCAGATTTTTTTTATAGCTATAATTTTCAATGCCCTTTTTTATTATTATTATTAGATACATTTTATGAATCTTATTTCTGTCTCTAAACATTTGTGCCAAGTTTCTGAAAATTTGGTGATGTAAGGCGCAGATTTGTGTTTTTAAATTTTTTTTATCCTTAATTAAAAACTATGAACACTTAATTAATGAAAGTCGATTTATCATGCGAAAGTTAATGAAAAAGCAAAAAAACTTAAACAGCAAAGTTTATTTATAAAATAAAAAATTTATAATAAAATAATAATAATAAACCAATAAAAAATTATACTAAAGCTATTTGCGCATTTTGCAAAACAATAAAATCAAATTTTTGTTAGGGGGAAACTTTGATTGTTTATTTTATTAAAAATTTAAATGTTTTAAATTAGAAATTAATTAATTCATAATAAAAATAATGATTAAAAGTTTTATTTAAAAAAATATTTAATTATTATTCTTTAACAACTATAAGTGGTTTAAATTAACTTTTTTTTATTTTTTAACTCCTCAGGTTTTTAATTTTATATAAACTTCAGAGAGTTTAAAGCATTTAATTGGCGGTAATTTGATTTAGAAGAATAAGATTTAAATGTAAAACTAGTTGCAATGTTACAACTTGAGTACAGTTTTTAAACAAAGCCCAGGTCAAGTAATTTTTGTGGCATTTTAAGATTGTAAAAGTCTGCTACAAAGACATTGAAAAACACCTATTTACCATTTGTGGTAAAGAGTCAAGCAGATTTGTGATAAAGAGTCAAGCAGATTTGTGGGTCAAGCAGATTGAGGAGTAATAAACAGAGATTTTAATTAGGATGTAACAAAATTTATAGCAAACAAATAATTTCAAAAAATAGGTTTATAACCTAAAATGAGTTTTATTTGCTGTTTTCAATGATAATGAGTTTTATTTGATTATGAGTTTTTCAATGGTTATGAGTTTTCAGGGCAAATAGTTTTAATAGACTTTACAAATTAAAAAAAATCTTTTTTTTCACACATTAACAAGAAGTAGCAGTAAGCAACACATAATACAGATAAGTAAATTAGTCACTAATAACAATTGAACTTGATATATCATCTGAAATATATTTCAGATAATATATTGAATACATATTTATCTATATAATCTTTTTAGTTCTGCTTGCGTTTAGTGATATCTTAGTTTTCAGTTAATAATAATAACAATGAAAACAATCATGCTCGATATGCTGCTGAATAGCATCACTTTTAAAACATGGAAACAATATAATGCATAATATAACACATAAAAGCTTTACATCACATTAAAAGACATTTAAATATACTTATCAAAATTATAAATTAAGACAATTTGTAAATGCAACACTATTTGTGTAATATTTATTGGCATACTTAAAAAAACATCGAGCAATATTAAAAAATACTAATATTAACAATACTTGTATTAACTATACTAATATTAACTATACTAATATTAATGATACTAAACATGTGATATAAATAGAATAAGAAATATTATGGATAATTTCTTATAAAATCGCTTTTTATTATGAATTTGTTACATTAACGACATTTATATATTTTTATGTTACACAGGTTATTGTCAGTTCTCAATTTTTTATCTAGAGTTTAGAACATATACAGTACCACATTTATTAGACATTTGTATGGTGCGATTATTTTAGTTATGAATACCATTAATAAACCAGCGGATTTTTACTGACTTGTTTGCTCATAGATCATTGTTTTATCATTTGCTAAAAGATGACTAGAGTGTGAGTTTTGGTTCCTCTTTTCTTGAGTTGCTAACTTTAACTCCTCCTACTAAATAGTCTTTACATTAATTTATGTTTTTTTACCTAAATGACATCATCTTCAATCTGTTTTTATTTTCACATCTCCCAGGTCTACGTAACTGGACTGCTCCGTTGGTCACTTTTTGCGATCATTGTGTCGCATAAGCATAAAAATTTATTCTTTGTGGCTGGTGAGCCCTGACTTTTTTCAATTTACACCACAATGACAAAACGAACATTAGGCTATCCTGCTGGATGTGGTTACGGCGATCAATAACCTAATGACTACGCTGATACTCACGCACACGTTAAGTTGGAAGCTCCACAATGCACATCGGATCAGCGCTCGTTGACTATGTGTTCGGATCTGAAATCTCACTTCATAGCACATCATTCCATACCAGCATGGAGCAGTAGCTCTTTTGGCTAAAAGTGATGGCTTGTAGCCTACGGTGACTAATGTGTGCATTCGATCAATTGAAATCCATTCTGTAGGTCTCATGTCTGGCTCTGATGTGCTAGCCCATAAGCGCAAGAAGTGAGTGTGTTTAGCTTTCTACTCACCCGATTTGAAAGTGAATGGAAACATAACGAAACTTTACTAGACAACAAACGGTACGTACTAATGCACTACACCATCACACCTGTTTATTGGCAAAAATCGACAAACCCAAATCTTTAATTTTTTTTACGGAATATATTTACAATATAAAAAACTTACAATAAAAAAAAAATTCATAATGATTTCAATGATGGAAGACATTTACGACTTTTGATATATTGTATCATTTCCCAATATCCTTATATGGGGTGTCATTCCCCTGTCTAAAAAAGGGATCATTTCTCCCATACTGGAGACCACTGGTAAAAACCCCTCAATGATAAAGGGCTCAGATGCTGAGAGTGTCAGCTAACAAAGTTTTTCTAAGTTGATGCTAAAATAAAGAGAAAAATTACATGTTGCATACAACAGCGATAAATGTTATATTTAAATTTACATATATTTAATAATCATAAAATGCTCAAGTCAGCAAAACATCTTGGCTGTTGCTGTGGAAGTTAAAGCCAAAATAAACAAACAAAAAATTAAAATAATGTAATGTTTAAACTTATATTTAACAGTTGTGAAACTGCATATTTATTTTAGTATCAAAAAATGCCTAATAACTTAGTAATAATAAGGTTCCAATAACTATATATCCAATAATGCTTCCTTTATTAATGAACTCTCATTAAAGAGAGAAAAGCAGACAATATTTCTAAGTTACTGTGTTAAAAAAAGTTAAAAAGACAAGATAACAAATTATAATATATATTAAATAATTTGCTATTAGCAAAACAAAAGTTATTATTATTAACGACAAAAACAACATAATAGAAAAGAATAGCCAGCAACATAGTAGTACAAAGTAGCCAGTAAAAAAATTATTTTTACCTCAGTTATGTAAAACTCAAGTTTTTTTTTAAATTTACTAAATTAAATCCATGTTTCAACTAAAACTAAAACTAATAAAGTAACAACAAAAGCAACTAAAAACAAAAAGAATATGACTATAATTTATATTTATAATTATAATTAAGTTTGAATTTATAAAAAAAATAATTTAATTTTGTGTTTACCTTGCTTTATAGTAAAGAAGGATTTGTTTTTATCCTGCTAAATAAAAAAAGTTGTTTTTACCTTGCTAAATAGCAAAGAAGAAGTTGTATTTCTGATTTGCATTTCTTTTTCATTTTCTTTTTAGTTTAGGCAAACTTTGATATTGTTAACTTTTTATAAAAAACTTTTTATAAAACAAAATGTGGCGACTAATTTATTATTTAAATCTTCTAAGGACCTTAGATAAGATATAATAAAATTAGTCACATTTGGAGGCTTTTGTTATGGCTTAGGATTTATTAATAGTAATGAGGCAATTGGTTGGACTGTTAGATAGTGCACTGAGTACTATCAGTGCTTTGAGTCAAGTTCTTTATCCAATTTAAAAAATGACTGAGATATCAAAATCTATAAAACACGAAAAAACCATCATTATCACCAAGTTTTCTAAACCTATCATTCACTAATATTTTTGGTCTTCAAAGTAACTTTTCTTCTGTTGAGTTTAATCTCTTGCAAAGTTCACCAGACCTGTTTGCTCTTTGTGAGACTAATTTGAGTTCAGCTGTCTTATCTTATGATCTTAGTTTTAATGGTTATCTTCCTTTAATTTGTAGAGACTCTAATAGTCACATGCTTGATCTGGACATTTACGCCTTTGTTGGGAAACTAGGTTTGAATCCACAGACTATTCTTTTATGTGCTTTCGTTTAGCACCACTTCACTCTATTGCCTTCTCTATGTTCAATATCGCTCTTCTTCATCACAAGACTGCACTTTTTTCGATGTTATTTCTGATCTAATTGACAAAGCCCTTTCTCTTTATATTTCAGCCAATATCGTTGTTGTTGGTGACTTTAATGCTCATCTCACTGAATTGCTTGGTACTAGTGTCAGCGACTCTGCAGGCATTAAACCCCACAACTTTTGACTTTCTCAATCTCTAACTCAAATAGTCAACTTCCTACTCGACTTATATATTGTTTTTGATAATAGTCTGTTTACAATTGCCATAGAAAAAAAGTTTAGTCCAGCACCAAAGCCCACTATTCTCAGGTCATGAAATTTTGTATTTTATTTCAAAAATTAATTTATCGTGATTTCTGGAGAAACATTAACAGTATCAATAATAAGGGCAAATCTGTTATTCCACCTCTCTTGTATGTTTCAGATTTTGTCACTTCACCTAAAGATAAAGCTGAATTATTTGCTAAAAACTTTTCATCAATATCATCTCTTTATTCCAATTATTGCGTTCTCCCTGATATAGCAAACAAACAGGTTGATCCATTGCTTGACATTCATATCACTCCAGCTTCTGTATCTTAATTGATTTCCTGCTTAGACTTTTCTATAGCTTGTGCCCCGGACAACATACCTGTTATAGTATATGTATATATATATATATATATA